TATAAAAGGGCCTTAGTGGTTAGTGTGCAACATCACCTATCTTTTTCTTGTGATTTATAGTACTATTTAAACTTTTTTTTTATTTCCTTTTTTATAATTTGACAAAAAGATTATAGGTGTGTTTAGGATTCCACACTTTTTTCATTTTTTTCTAATTATGTTCGAATGAGGTTGTTTAGTCATTTAAGTCGTTTTTAAAAGAGAGAGAATTATGTAATTAGAAAAAAATATTTAAAACAAATTAAAATGAGAAAATAATAAAAAAAAATAGTTTTTGTTGCAAGCTGTCGTGTAGTGGAGAATTGGAGATTGTGGTCAGATCTGTGTGGGTCGGGAAGAAAAAGGACCAAACATAAGAGGCTTTGTAGCCCAGTTTCCAGCTTTTTCCCATCTATAATTATTTAATTGCAAATCCTCCACAATTTATGTACGATTGAAAAAAATTATATATATTAATGTTTTTTCTTCAATATGTAAAATCTTCTATATATTAATAGAAGAGACACTAAATAAAAATCTTAGATATCATCTAAAGAGAATTTTAAAGAATTTTTTAAAAAAGCTATTAAAATTTCTTAATAATATTATTGTGTAAATAATTAGACCAAATTTATATCAAATATACAATATAGAAAATTTGCAACGCATATACCTAATGAAAACCCGTATTAGAGATATATACATAGTTAAATATATACGGACTGTTGCAAATATTTCTTCCTATTATACCCTTATAAGAAGTAAAGAGAGAAAAGTACGATTGCTCAGATTTTAGATATATTTTCTGACAAGATATTACTACATCATATCAAAACATATACATACATGAAATTATATGCACTTCCCCTCTCTCGTTCTCTTTCTTCATTGTTTTGCTCTTATCATAATCCCATCCATTTTTGTTATTTCAATTTTGTAGGGGTCATATTTCACCCCTGTGAGATCGATATAGCGACGAGATCGACTCCGCAATATCCTGACGAAATCACGACGAATCTACGAAGGCTCAGCCTGAATCTGGGCCCAAAATGACATTAAACCCATTAGCAAAATGGGCTTAATAGAATAATGGGCCTAAATTAGATTTATTGTTTAATGGGCCAGATCCATTTTATTAGCTGGCCCATTTTAGATGATTTCACTATATATAGCTCTTCATTCTCACCAAAAAGGGGGGGAGAATTCATTAGCAAAAACTCTTGTAACAGCTTTCTTGACAGCTAATAAAAACTCTCTTGAGATCTTTGTGTTTGCTTGCTTTCGACAGAGCTTTACAAACCCTAAAGAATCACTTAGATTCTAATTGTGAGATTCGACCACCACAAA